TTGCCTGAATGCGGGCCACATTGTTTGTCCAGACGGCCACGATTTGTTTGCAAATGTTGTACGCAGGTGCACATGGCCGTGCTCTCACCCCTGTCCTCGCTGCATCTTTGATACCGTTAGGGTGTTTGCTGGCTGATATTTTAGAGCCAGACAGGTCTACAGCGCTCAGCCAACAGGCGTTGCGTGAAGTATGGATTTCCTTTTGGGCCTCGCCACCCACCCCCTCCCCCCTCCATGCAAGCAGCTACGCCCTCGGGAGTCTAAAGGAAAACTGCCTCCTACCCCATTTCAGGGTCTCTGGAAGTCCCCGGCTTTGGAGTGCCCAGCCGAAGACGACGACGGTGACGACGCCGGCGAGAGTCAGGGGAGCAAGGAGTCGCAATAACGGTACGTTTCAGGATTTCCCAATGCGTCCAGGATGTCTCAGATCTCATGCTGTTCCGCACGGGTCCCGGGAACACAGGCCGCTAGATGCTCCCAGAATTCCTGGAAAGGACCCTGTTCCAGTCGCACGACAGCAGTTTCGTCCCGGGTGGGCGACGGCGATCGCCGCCGACGATCGACGAATTGTCGCCGTGCAGAGGTCCTGGTGCGCGGGGAGCTGCTGACGGGCGGGGGAGGCGACGCAGGGCCGGGGCGGCCGCGGCCGCGGGGGGCTGGTGAGGTTCGGCCTCTTCCTCCTCCTCCTCCTCCTCCTCCTCCGCCTCCTCCTCCGCCTCCTCCTCCGCCTCCTCCTCCTCTTCCTCCACGTACCTAAGCTGCACGGCCCACGATCTGCAATCGAAGCCTTCTAACGGAAGAAAAGCACGAGGCCGAGTTGGGCGATGTAGATAACAAAGGCGTGCATCCGCGCATGGGAGGGAGGCGCAAAGAGAGGCGGCAAAGTAAACGAGACAGATAGGGCTCAGAGTAAACACGGCAGGCTCTTCATCCATGTCCTCTTCTTCTTCCTCCATGATCTTCTCCTCCTTCTTTACTGGCGACGGCGTTGACGTCTTCGTTTTGAAATTTCATGCATTGGGGGATGTTCTCGCTGTCATGGCTCGAAAAGCGTACCAGGCCCGAAGGTCCTTGTCAGCGGTTTTCAAATTATTCTGGCGTTCTTGTTCCTCCTCCTCCTCCTCCTCCTCCTCCTCCATGACCGTCTCATCCAACTTGGGACCCTTTCGTGTGGGCCTCAAGTGCCGACACAAAGTCTTCACACATCGGTGGTGGATCTATGAAAATGTTGTCCCAGTTTCGCCTCGGCTTTGGGGCCCTCCTGGGGCCTCCTCGAGGCCCTTCCCGTTGCTCCAGGGGCTGCCTACCGCCCCGTTGGCCCTCCTGCTGATGCTCCTTGCAACGAGCAGTGACCCAGTCAGACGTTCTTCAGCCACGCGACGGCCCTCCTTCCTGACGACGATGTCGACGTCCTTTTTTTCCGATGTTTCAGTTTTTCGTTTGTTCTCGTCGCCATGGCTCGAAAACGCGGGCCAGGCCTGAGGAGTCTTGGGGAGCAGTTTTCAGCGGATTGTGGGTCTCCTTCTTTTTTTTCGTCCGCGGGCATCGAAGACGTTCTTACAGGCGGCCCGGATTAGTAGGTCGACCCTGCCAGATCAAGGGTACCTTTGTGTCCTGCGTCTCACGACCCATGCTTGCTACATTCCTGTGGCGATGTGGCCCTCAAAAGGGTCTTGTGTCCTCTCGCGTGTCCTCTCCAATCAAGCCCGACTATAGTTGGCGTGATTTGCCGTCGTTGGGCTCCGATGGGCGTCAGGAAGCCTCCAGAGACCCTCATCGTGAACCGTTCGAGAACTCCTTGTCCCCGGAGGTCCCCCTCTTCCTTCTTCTTCGCCCTGCACCATCGTAACAGGCCCCGCTTCATGCCCCCCGGGGTTGCCACAAGTGCTGGCGATTGGCTCGACACTGCTGTACCAAAGCGCGTTGACCTGTACCTTCCCCTCCTGCCGGGCCTTTTCCTGCTCTGTCAGGCGGGCGTCATGGAGTGCTCTACCGAAAGGCACAGGCACAGGCACAACGAAATTCCGCTGCCCAGAAAGCATGAGACGCTACCACCCCTGCGGTCCAGGCTGCCCCCGGCAAGACACGGCAGGGCGCGCGGTCGCGAGGGAAAAAATGCAGCGCGCCGCTCGCGCGCACGGGCCTGCCTCTCGCCCTTCGCTCCCCCCGCTCCCCCCGCCGCCTCCTGCCCTCCAGGCCTCTCGAATGTGGGTACTCACCACCCACCCAACCACCCCAACCCAACCCGAAGCCCTCAATTTGCCTTCCATTTCCAGTGGGGGGGGGGTCGGGGCACGTTGAAAAAACACATGGTATCCGTACCCCCCCCAACCCGAAATTCGGGTCAACTTCGGGTCTTCGGGTTGGGTTGGGGTGGTGTGGTAGGTAGTCAGGTACAGCCGGACCGAGGTGCAAGATCGAGGTCGGTTCTGGAAGGGTGCAGTCGGACCGGGGCAGAAGGTCGAGGTCGGTGCGGGGAGGCTACCCAGTGTGCTTCGTGTGTGCTGGGTTCTCGTGTGTACCCTGGGGAGGGCCCCCTCGAAGGTTCCTCAGTCTGGGCCGGCGGAGGGTCTCATGTGCTTGAAGGGTGGTATTCTGTCCTGGGTCCGGCCGTACCTCAGGTTCATATCGTGTCGACGCGTCGGCGGCCCCGCCAGGGGCCCAGAAGCGGCCGATCTGGAACGCTCTGGCGATCGGAAACCCGCCGACCGTTCGATGTTGAGCGATCCAAGCTCGGGGGCGGCAGAGAGGGGGGTGATGACTAGGGGGGGTGGATTTCATGGCGCGGGCCATGATTTTTCCTCAGTTTTCATGGCGCCTCTTCTTATTTCATTACGTTCCGGGCCCCCCCGCTGGGCCGCGCACATGCCGCCGGTCATGATTTGCACCCCCCCCCTCTTGGACACCCCCCTCTTGGCCGCTCCCGACAAGCTGAGTCAGACACCAAAGCCCGGGTCGTCGCTGCACGAGCCTGCCTCCTGCTCTGCAGGCCTACCGGAACTGTGGAAGTCGGTCAGCGGGGCCAGGGCTCAACTTGAAGTCGCCCTTCATATGATTATCCTTGGTCGACAACTGGCCTGATCTGACTCAATCCCCCTGAGTCCGGCTAAATCCCTCCAGGACATGGTCTGACCAGTAGATGTGCCCGTGCTATCCGCTCCGGGAGCGGGTAGCACGGGGCGGCGCTGAGTTGTGCCGGGGGTCCGCTTTTGGATGACGATTGTCAGCATCGTCTAGCAGATCCCCATTTTCATGCATGGTCCATGGGGTCATGGCATCTCGGTCCCACCACGTCACCCGCCCTGACGGGAATAGGCCCCGCGAAGCCCGCAGGGAGCAGCATAGACCCCCACTGTGGGGGTAGGTCGGTCAGTGGGGCTCGATCAAACGAAAACTCAGACGAAAGGCCACACCAGCAGGGATAGGGATCGATCAAACGAAGCTCACACGGGAGAGGGAGGAGGACTGCGGCGGGCCAGTGGCGGGACCCACGGGCCGACGATTCGTCCTCTCTTTTCTTCCTCCTCGCCTCACGTACGCCCCGGGCCGGGCCCCCTCCCTGGAGAAGGTCGGAGGCCAGATCCAGGCCACCCAGAAGGGGTCCGAGTAGATGGGGTCGGAGGGTCGCGCCGCATCACCGATGCATCAGCGATGCGGCTCGATGTGGAACCCGATTCTCTCCACTCCAACGGCGCCGATGCATCACCGACGTCACAGCGGCGTTATCGTCCGACCCCATTACTCGGACCCCATCTGGGATTCCTCCACCAGAGGTGGGGTCCAGGCTACAGGTTCAACTGCGCTCGCTTTTGCATGCCTCAGGGCACTGCTGAGGGGCCCCCGAGTCTGGTTCTAGTTTCGCTGCCCCCGTGCCTGGTTCTAGCTTCGCAGCGGCCCACGACCTCAACTCGGGCACTGGCCCACGGGGTCGTGAGAGCCGCTGGTGTCGTGACACTGACTGTCCACTGCGTAGCTTGTCACGCGCCTGGTTTGGGCATCAGGGGGCCGAATGGGAGAGGGTGTCTGTCGTCCTCTGTGTCCGCACTTCCTCTGCCTCTTTCCTTCCCGCCTACACACGCTCTCTCCATCCCTCTGTCTCTCTCTCTCTCTCTCGCTCTCTCTCTTTCTCTCTTTATCCAAAAGCGGCCCAAAGTGCGAGTATCCGTTTTACATGCCGATGCAGAATACAGCCAACGTTAAATACGACTCACCAATGTCGATGTCGTTTCGTCGTCGGCATTGTCACGTGAGTGGCACAAGCTAGATTCTGCACGCATTGCGCTCGAGAGCGGGACCTATCTTATTGATGTTGCGGTGCTGGCCCATCTTTCCACGGAGAATTGGCATACGGTTCATCTCGAATGGGGCTTGATCGTTTTATCGTAACAGAAGCAGCGCGTGGTGGTGAAATGATTATTCACCAATGCTCCTACCCATATCCGCCTTAGCCTCCTTAAGTCCCCTCAAAAAATGTCCTTCCACCTCCAACCCCTCTGCACATCTGCGCCGCCTCCTCCTCCTCCTCGCCCTCCTCCTCCCTCTGGACAGTCCCCGTGCAGCGCTGCAGAAGCACTGCCAGAAACGCTTCCATGCGTGCCTGCACGTGTACCGGCTCGCGTGGAAGCTTTCGGGAAGCTCTCCCGGACGCCCTGCCGGGCCGAACGAACCGCTGCGGGGATTCTGGACCGGCGAAGATGGGCTGCTGGCGGGCACCACCATCCCTAACTTACCACCTCCCTCCATCCCTACTTGATCTCGGCACGTCCCGCTATGAAAGCAAGTTCCTGTAGGGACCCATGAAGAGGGAATTCGAATCTAGGGACCCGTCCTTTTGCAGGTTGACCCGCTCTCCCCCAGAAGACGGGTCGCGCAGAGTCCTTGGCCAGATTTCTGGTGTGAGGTTTGAGCAACTCATTTGGACTCCCCGCGCATTGCTCATTGCTCATTGCCCCCCTCCCCTGCTCCCGCCCCATCCGCCTCCTCCGCCCCCCCCCCCCGAAGGGCTCCATACCAGACGTACCGGCATGTAGGGGCCCCCGCGGGGGGCGGCCGCGGGTGCGGCCCGCGACGCGCGGAGCCCATGCCGCCGGGCGCGGCCACGCGTCCCCGGCGCAGGCAGCGCTGCCTCGAGTCTCGGGGGCGGCAGAGAGGGGGGTGATGACTAGGGGGGGGGTGGATATCATGGCGTGGGCCATGATATTTCCCCAGGATTCATGGCGCCCCTTCTTATTTCATTACGTTCTGGGCCCCCCCGCTGGGCCGCGCACATGCCGCCGGTCATGATTTGCACCCCCCCCTCTTGGACACCCCCCTCTTGGCCGCTCCCGAGGGTCGGGGCTCGGGAGGCGAGGGTCCGCCAGAGCGCCGGATCTTGCGGGATTATAGACCTCCTAGATGGGGTCGGGGCAGATGGGGTCGGAGGATCGCGCCGCATCGCCAATGCAACGCCGATGCGGCTCGATGTGCAGCCCGATTTGCTTCATGTCGACGTCGCCGATGCATCGCCGACGTCGACGATGCATCGCCGGTGCATCGCCGATGCATCGCCGATGCATCGCCGATGTATCGGCGTTGCGGCGCAATTCTCCGACCCCATCTACTCCGATCCCATCTGGGAGGCCTCTAAGGATCCTGCAGAGCCAGGGTCGCACTGAGCTGGGCTTCGGTGCATTATCCTGCAGGATCTAGCAGGATTATGCGAGGCCTGACTGGCCACGGTATAACAGAGGAGGAGAGGGACCGATATTCGAGGCATCCCAGTTGGGGTCGGAGTAGATGGGGTCGGAGGATCGCGCCTCATCGCCGATGCATTCGCGATGTGGAGCACGATTTGTTCCACCCCGATGTTGTTGGTGCATCGTCGACGATGCCGGTGCATCGCCGATGCATCGGCTACGTATTGGAGATGCATCGGCGATGCAGTCAGATCTTCCGACCCTTGCATTTGGACCCCATCCAGGAGGCCTCAATGTAGGGGGCGTACGAGGCCAAGGTGTATAAGAGGAGGAGATGGACGATACCGCTACCCTTCTCCGTTTGCACTTAAACACAGATGGAACCCGCACGCTCCCAAACCCGAAGTTTTGGGACTTCGGGTTGGGTTGGGGGGTTCTGGCAGGTAGTTGAAATCGGCGGCGCGCCAAGGGTGTAAGTGAGAGGGGGCAGGCGGCGGGGTTTCTCAGAAGCCCTCGCGCCTTCTGAGAAGTTTTCTGTGTCTTCGGGGTGGTTCAGACTACTTCTAAAAAGGCCCGAGGCCCTCCGAGCCCTCTGTAAAGGCCCGCCCCCTCCTACCTTCCCCCCCCAGAACTCGCCGCCATTAAGCACACTGTGCCTTTTGTGCCCCCCCCCGAGGGCCCCGCGGCCGCTGCTGTGGGCCTGGCTCGGCTGCTGCGCACAGCTGCCGTACCGCGCGGCCGCCCTGGCGGCCGCGCGCGGCGGCGAGGACCCCCTGGGCCCGCCCCGCCCTCGCGCCGCGGCGCCGCTCCGGGCCTCCCGGACGGGGTCCCGAGCAGCCAGGGTCGGGGGTGATGGCAGCGCATCGCCGATGCATCGGCGCAGCATCGGCGAAGCGGCTCGCGCGCGGCGGCTCGCGTGCCGCGTTGAGGACCGGGCCGCCCCGCCCTGACGCCGCGACGCCGCACGAGCTCCAATCGGCGGCGAGCCCTGGGGGGGAGCTCGGGAGTTTGGGGTTCGAGGTTCGAGGTCTTCGGACGCTACCGTTGCTTCTCGGCGGCTCTCAAGCCTGGGGATGCGTTCCAGCGGCTGCGCCTCGTCGAAAGCGTTTGGGGGGCTCAGATCGTGCCGAACGGCCGCGACGCCGTTCTTCTTCTTCTTCGTCGTCTTCTTATTATTATTCTCCTGCTTCTTCTTCTTCTAGAGGAAGTCAGGGGCAACGATAGGGGGGTTAGGCTCGGGGGGGGGCGCATCGACCCCAAATCGCCGACTCATCGCCGATAGGGGCCCGATTAGCTCACCCTGCCCAGGACCTGGACTCGCTATCGGAGGCCGAACGCCGACCTATCGGCGACGTGTCGCCGATTCCAGCTCGATGTTTCCCCCTCTGAGATGGTCCCCCCCTACCGTTGCCCCTCAACTCCGAGCTCCAATCGGCGGCGAGCCCAGGGGGGGGTGAGAGGGGTCAGGCCTTCTCAGAAGGCAGCGGGGCTTCTGAGAAGCCTCCAGCCTTCTGTGAAGCCGTCGCTGTCCTCGAAGAAGACGTCGAGAACTTCTCAGAAGGGGCGAGGGAAGCCCGGCCGCCCTTTGAGAAGGCCCGCCCCCTCTCAGTTGCCCCCCTGGTCTCGCCGCCGATCCAACACATTGAGACACCAAGACGGAGGAGTTGTCTTACCGCACGCTCTCGCTGGTTCCTGAGGTTCTCCAGGATCACATGTATTGATCACATGTTCTGAGGTTCCAGGTTCTCCAGGATCACATGTTCTCCAGGTTCTACCTGATTCTCCGCACGCGTCCGTTGATTCCTGGAGGTTTTCCAGCCTCGGGATGCTTTCCAGCGGCTGCGCGTCGCGAGAGCGTCCCACAGGTGTCGTCAGAGGTGACCTGATCGTTCCGAGCGGCCGCCAGAGACCTAACTCATGACCTTCAGCGAATTGAAAAGAGTCTGGACGGCGAGTTTTCCAAGTTCTCGGTCTCTGGGGGCCACCGCCGGCCCGGGGATCGTGAAATAACGACTCGGGATGAGAAACCTGTTCCCGGGCGAAGGGTGGGGACTTCCAGGGACCGCGCATTGAAGAAATCAAGGCATCGGATGTCTGGCAAGTCAGACGGGTGGGGGGAAGGCAGACGGGGCGGGGGTTTCTCTCAGAAGGCTCGGGAGGCATCCAGCCGTGTGGGATGCTTTCTGAGCCTTCCCCGAAGCCGCAGATCCAGGCCTCCCAGATGGGCATCGGCGATGCGGCTGGATTGGGAGCCCGATGTTCTCCACGCCGACGCCGCCGATGCATCGCCGACGTGGCCGATGCGGTACGATCCTCCGACCCCACCCACTCGGACCCCACGGAGCCCATTGGAGGCCCCTGCCGAAGCCGCGCACGCCCTCCCCGTGCGGCTACGCAGCGGTCCTCCCGCGGACCGGCGGGCGAAGGGAGCCATCCCAGCGTCGACTAGATGTAAGAGTGACCTTTCGCCGGAGTGACCTTTGGTGCGGGCACAGATGGGCCCTCAGATGGCTGAAAACGAAACAGGAGCAGCGGCTTGCGCGCCCAGGTTTGCCCCCCCCGCGGTCCCCAAAAAGCCGCGCACCAAAGGTCACTCTTACCCAGGGTCACTCTTACCCAGGGTCACTCTTGCGTGTAGCCGAGAGAGGCGCTGGGTCACTGCGAACAGGGGTCAGCCAGAACGCGGGATCTTGCAGGATCCTGCAGAGCCAGGGGCGCACTGACCCGGGTCTGGATTGACCCGGGTCTGGATTGACCCGGGTCTGGATTGACCCGGGTCAGTGTCTCCGATTTTGGACCCCCCAACGGTTCGATGATCTTCCGAACGTGTGTTAGCCCAATGTGTGTTATCCTCGCTCAGCGCCGCCGATAGCTCGCAGCTCTTGACAGTCATCAGTGCGCAGAAGCAAGTGTTTACGGGGCCGGTCCACATCCATGTCTGCTGGCTGCGATGGGGGGGGGCCTCCACGCTGTGACTAGGTCGTGGATCCTCGACATGTCACGCACTGTGATGCATGTGTTCGGTCTCCCTGTGGAGACCAGGTCAGCCCTGAGACAGTCCAGGTCCCTGGATAGGGCGTGCGCCGCGGTGGCGAGTTCACGGCACGCGATGGGAGGCGTGATCGGCGCCAGGAACCCGCCCCTGAGATGGAGAGACTCAGGGATTTCATGAGGGGGGGGGGGGGCGGCTGGCTGGCTTTGCCTCCAGCGATTCAAGCAGTGCTTGTGGAACCTGTGTCCGCAGAGGATGAGGACTTCTACCGGCCCGTCGAAATCCCCCGCACAGATGGTGCACGTTTGCGGCCCCTCGCCCGAGTCCCATCCGGGCATGGGCTCCGGCTCGCCTGCTCTGAGCACCCTTACTGCGTCCCCTGGCGGATCCGCCCCGTCGGAGATTGAGGTGCCCAGGCTTTCTATGAGGAGGCGGGTTGTCGAGATCGCTTCTTCCTCGGCATGGCAAGCCCTGAGGCCGGTGCTCCGGAGGAGGACACGTATTTGGTTGATTCCAAATGGCGCGTAGGCGCTGGGGGCCCGCTCCCCCCCTTCGCACAGCGTGATCCTGATGTCGGTCGGTGTGTGTATCCCTGCCAATTGTAGCCATCTGGTGAGGACTTCGCACGGTCTGGTGTCCATGCCTCGCACCTGTAGCACCGGCCGCAGGAGGGGGATATAGCGCGGTGCAAGGCATAGCCAGATGGCTCTGGATATCCAGCTCCCCGGTTCGAAGTGCGCTCTGGGCTCCCTCAGGAGGCTTTCCGCTACGAGTTGCGCGTCCGCGCCGCTGAAGGAGCTGCGGTCGATGTTTTGCTGCCTGGCTCTTCCCGCGATGTCGTCATCTCTTTGCGTGGCATCCAGGGGTCTGACGAGGGTGTCTAGGGTATCGCTCCTAGGGTCTGCCTGCACCGGGGGCCTGCTTCCGGTGTTGGGGTCTTCGCCGAGTATGTGCCTGATGTCTGTGTGCCAGGGGGTTGTGGTGCCCTGTGCGCCTCCCTCCGAGACGGATGGGGCGTGGCGACCTCCGGCTCTTCCGTCGTTTCCATTGCTATTTCGTGCGCTCGTCCTCGCGATTCTTGCCTGCACTCCTCCCTCTACGGCGTTCCGATCCCCGGTTAATATTCCTTCCTGAACGTATCCGAGGGGGTCGAGCCAGCTCATGGTGCGCTCCTGGAGTTCAGGATGGGTGTATCCTCCTGGGAGGGGGGCCTCGACTTCTCTTCCCGTGAGTTGTGAGATGGTTGCTGCCTCTCCCGCGAGGCGCTGGTGAGCTTCCTGTAGGTTGGAGATGCCCACTAAGCGCCATCGACTGGCTGCGTGCGTGACTGTGTGGGTAGATATTCCAGCAGCCTCGAAGACTCTCCTTAGGGTGTCCCTTCCCTCTTCTGTGACTGATTCCCAGATAAAGGGTACCAGTATCCTGCTCCAGGTCATGTTGGCTGGTACGCCGTCGTTCGCTACCTGCGCACGGATCGCCGCGATCTCCTGCAGCAGGCGGCGGGCGCTGCTCCACCTCTCCAGAGAGGGTTGAGCGCTCCTGCCCGATCGCCGTTCCTCAATGTTGCGGCTGTCGAAGCGCTCGCCCCGCGCGGCTTGCTGGTTGGCTGCGCTGGGGACGGGGGCGCCCCTTCCGTGAAGCCTGGCGCGGAGCGAGATGGCGAGGCGCGTCGCGGCTCCACAGGGGCTGTCTGGGGCGAGGTGATCCGCGATGAGTCCCCCTTCCCTTCTTGCGGTGGAGATGAGGGCCGCACAGGCCACCTCCGTGGCCTCCGTGTTCACATCCTGCGCCCTGGGGGGGGGGCTCGTCAGTGGCCGCGACGCCAAGCGCCTGATCAAGAAAGTTCTCTCCTATTTCATTTCGGAGCCAGTCTACATCGTCCGCGGGAACCCCGCAGGAGTCGTCATTTCGATGCGGCTCGCCCCTTGCCCTTACTCAAAATTGACCCTCAGCGCCTCCTCCCGTCCTTATTCTCATATTCCCGCCACCTCCTTAATCCCCTGCCTCCTCTTCCCCGCTCCTGCCCCCTCGCCCCTCTCCGCCGACAGCTGGTGCACACTATCGACGCAACTTTCCGTTACTGATGTAACCCTTTCTGTCAGTAAGGGTGGTTGTTGACGTAGAAATAGTATCGTGCTTTCGGCCGTCCAGAGAAACCGACGCAATTTTCCGTCACCGAAGTAACGTTTCCGTTCGTAATGGAATCCCCCCGTTGGTAACGTAACGGTTCCGTCGGTTCCGTCAGTTCCGTCAGTTATTTGCGCGGCTTGTGGTTCCTTCGACGCATGAGGGACACGTATTTCTCCAGCCCATCTAGTCTGAGTCAGCCGCATATTCCGCACCAAGTTCGCGCGCGGCACCTGCGATCCACCAGCGTGCTGAGACGCTCTGTGACGCGCGCAGATGTGCGTTTACATAACGTGCAACTTATCGAAGAGCTTCGGTGGACAAACACACGTTAGCTTTGACACACGTGCTGAGGATCATCGAACGGTGCGGTGGCCACACCGTGGGGCGAGTCGGTGAGGATTCGGGGTGGCCGCAAGGTTTTGGGACTCGGGTCGTTCTCCGAGGATGTTTCGGGCGACTGGGGCCTCCGAAGTCAAAGACCGTGCGGTGACGGGCTGTGCGGTCACGTCTCTTGGTTTTCGATGGTCACCGCGCGGCCCGTGATCGCGCAGTTTCTGGGACCCCCGAGGAAGGAGCATCCCAGACCCCCTCGCGTCGCGAGCAAAAGCACGACGAGCGTTTTTTGCATCATTTTCGACCTTCGGGGCCCCCCTCGGTGGGCTTCGGCAGCGTCAGGATACCACTCGGGATGAGCAGCCGTCCCCAGGGAAGGGGTCGGGACGTCTGGGGGTCGACGTTGCGAAGACATCGCAACGTCGGGGCGACACTGCGCCGCCGCAGAAGTCTTCCCCGAGGCCGCAGAAGGCTTCCGAAAAGTTCCGGGTGCCTCTGAGAAGCCCCGCCGCCTTCCGAGACAGCCTGCTCCCTCTCTCACTCCCCTCCCGTCGGCGCGCCGCCAGTTCTAACGCGGCAGTTCCGGCCGCGGAAACGTTGGTGCGACGGTTTGGCGGCACGCGGGCGGGGGTGGGCGCAGCACGCCCGTCCTCGTATTTGGGGCAGCTTCTGCTGTAGCGGCGCTCGTTCCTTCGGTTGCCGCATATCCTCCCTCGCTGGATTTCCAGTCTCCACGATCGAAATGGACATGGAAAAGCTGGAGGCGAAGACCAGCACCAGTTTGAGGCAGACTGTCGCTTGCCCGGCAGCGGCCGCCGTCGGATCTGCACAGCACGTGTTCTTGAGCATCGTGTCATTTGTTGTCCATACCCATTGCTGGCGTGCCAATCCAGCGTCCTGAAAGGTCGAGACGAAGATCTGTCGTCGTTCTCCGCGTCCAGGGGGGCGTTTATCGGACTCCGCAGGGCCGCCAAACTACGATCGGTGGCGAAGAGCCAGTTTCCTGGGAGGTTGTCGAGAGGTCCGCGGTCTGGGCATTCCGCATTGAAATAATCAAGGCATCGGAGGTCTGGGTTTTTATTTTTCGACTGCACGTGAGAGGTTGGAGTGACCTTTTGCCAGAGTGACCTTTGATGTGGGCCCATCGGGGTTCCCCGATCGGAAGATGTGATGCGATACTAGCGGCTAGCGGCTAGCGCGCTTGAATGTTTTCCCCCCGCCCCCCGCGCCCCCCTGAAACCGCACACCAATGGTCATTTTGGCCCAGGACCACTCTTGTGGTAGCCGAATGTCCCCCCACGACGGCGAAGCGAAGACAACGACTTGACAGGAGTTTGCAGCCTTCTTTTTGCCACGGCTGGGCAGGGCTCGGAACATTGGCCAAGATGCAACGGGTCCAGGGGACAGATTCAAGTGGTTTGACGCCATTCCGCCATTCCGCCGACCCCCACAAGGAGTGAGTGTTTGAGACGATCGTGGAAGTTACATATTGGGTCATGAGCCTTCTGGATGAATATGAGGGTCGCTTGGGATGCCTCTCTGGGACTTCTTGGAATATCTTGGGGGCATGTGGGATGCTTCTTGGGGCCTCGTGGTGGCCCCTGGGGGCAGTCTTGGGGGCGCCTCAGAGGCCTCTTGGGGTCTCTTGAGGGGCCCTCGGGGGCCTCTTGGGGGCTCGGGGGGCAATCTCGGTGGGAAAGTCTCGAAATGTCAGCTCGTATTCCGCCTCTTGGGCGTACTTGGCGCCCACTTGGGGCACTCCAGGGGCTGCCTTGGGCCGTCTTGGGGCTGTCTTTAGGCCCTCTTGGGCCCCTTGGCTTGGGGCCTCCTTGGATGCATCATGGGCAGTCTTGGGACGATCTTGTGGGCCACTTGGGTCGTCGTGTTCGCTGTCAAAACGTAACATGCGAACGTGCTGAACATGTACGCCTTCCCGAGGGATTGGGATGATTTTGGCTTCTTGGGGCTCTCTCGGCGATCCTCTTCAGGTGCGGGCTGTCCTGGTGGCCTCGTGGGCCATCATGACGCTCTCTTCGACTGTCTTGGCGCTCTGCCTGGGCCCTGTTGGGCTGCCCTGGGGCTTTTTGGGAGGCTCCAGAGGCCCTGGGGGTGCGTTGACGAGCTCGTCCCCCTCCCCTCCCCCCCAGAATAGCAGTTTGGACACCACGGGAGGGGGAAACGGGGAAGGGGACAGCCAACTGTCTCACACGCCTTGTCCCCCCCGGCAGGTGGAGGTCGGCGGATTTCCAGCGGATGCTGGACATTTTCATCTCTTCCCGGTCCTCCCCCTCTCTTTTTCCTCTTACTCTTCCTTCTTTCCTTCCCTTCTCAGTCGTCCCTCCTCGGCCCCACCTCCTCCCTCCCGCGCGCGCCCGCAGCATCAGCTCGTCCGCCCCCTCTTTTTCCTTCCTCCTCCTGCTCCCACCTTCCTCCTCATCCCTCCTCATCCCTCCTCCTCCTCCACCCCCTGCTTACAGGGCGTTTCACACCAGACTCAGGCAAACCTACTTGCGTAGAATTTCCCCCCCCCCCCGAGTCCCCCGTCCGACGTCTCTTCGGGCACCCTTGGGTCGAGCCGACTGGGCGTGCAAGCGAGTCCCGACTCCTGTGAGGTCCAGATTTCCTTTCGGGCCTCGCCACGCCGCCCCCCTACTCCCAGCTCCATGCAAGTAAGCTTGCAGGCGTGTGCAGTCGAGTTTGACTAGTAGGTCGACCTCTCGACAATCAAGAGCATCTGTGTGCCTTGTGCATCGCGTCTAGTGTCTTCGGCCTCCTCTGAAGCGAAGGTGCCCTGGTTTGGGAGGCCACGTTGCCATCGGAAGAGTCTCGTGCCCGGAAGTACTTTGTCCTCGGACTCGGCACTTCACCCCAGCTGAGCCTGAGCAGAAACGATGGCGGACATGCAACGGGAGGCGAACAGGAGAGGGGACGGGAAGGAAGCCTGGGGGGAAGAACAATAATGGGAATTTGCATGATTGGAGCCGATCATTGTGGGCAAAAATGCAACCCAACCCTGAAGCTTTCGACCTCCCAGCCGATCATGCAATCACCCGTTGGAAGATCAAATAAGCGAGGCAGCAAAAATGGGGTCGTCTGCGCCGACACCGGCGCGTCAGCTGCGCGCGTAAGGTCGCGCGCAAGCGCCCTCGTCTCCACTGTGGCTTGACGCGCTGGTAGCCCGCGCAAGTCACCGCGTAAGGTCGCTACGTCACCCCGCCTGAGACCCGTGTCTTTTCAGCGCTCCGGTGCCTCTTTTCAGGCAGGATGCTGCGCGCGCGCGCCCGCTGCGTCGGCCCCGGCCTCGCCCCCCTCGTCGCCGCGCCGCGAGGAGGCGCCAGCCGCCCGCCGCGACGCCGCGCTCCTCGCCCGCGCCGCCACGGAGGACCCGATGCGCGCCGAGGAGCCCCGCGGCCGCAGACCGCCCCGCTGCGATCGGGGGCATCGATGGGGCCTGGCATCGCTTGGCCGTGTGCATTATTTTTCGCCCGCGCCGACGCATACGCCGACGACGCCGACGCCGACGACGCCGACGCCGCCGCCGCCGACGACGACGACGGCGGCGGCGGCGACGACGTCGACGACGACGACGACGACGACGACGGCGGTGGCGACGACGGCGGCGACGACGACGACGACGACGGCGACGACGACGGCGACGACGACGGACGACGGCGGCGGCAACGACGGCGGCGGCGACGACGGCGACGACGACGACGACGAAGCGACGATGAAACGTGGCCGAGGGCGGGAGGGTGAGGGGCAGGTCGGCGGCGACGACGACGGCGACGACGACGACGACGACGACGACGACGACGGCGGCGGCGACGACGACGACGGCGGCGGCGACGACGCCGACGACGACGACGACGACGACGGCGGCGGCGGCGGCGGCGGCGGCGGCGACGGACGACGACGGACGACCGCGGCGACGACGACGACGACGACGAAACGACGCGGAGGGCGGGAGGGGGGAGGGGCAGGAGGAAGGGCGTCGTCGGCGACGAGCATCCTGGACCATCTGGCCACAAAAAGCACGCACGAAATTCCCCAAAAGTGCACGAGAAGTGGATGTCCGAGCGATGGCAAGTGAGGGGGATAAGCTCAGGGGGGGGAGCGCATCGACCCCCAATCGCCCACTGATGGCCGACACGGGCCTGGTAGCCCCACACCGCCCAGGAGCATGCGCATTCGCCATCGGGGGCATGCAGTGGGCATACTCGCCTCAAGGGTGCCCTGGGTTTCTTGGGGTTCGATGGTTTTGCGGTGGCAAGCTTGACGTGCGCACACCAAAAAGGAATGAACGTTCTGGGGTCTCAGGGTTGGGTTTCTTGTGGAAGGTCTCTTGTGGTCGGGCCCCACAGTATCGCCATTCTGTCGGCGATGCCTCGTCGAATCCAGGTCGATGTCTCCGCCCCTGTGCCAGTCCCCCCGACCATGGCCCCTCGGAAATCCTGGAGGCCTCGCGCGGCGCGCAACAGCTGCATCGTCCATCACACACGGCCGCCCCGTCAGCTCTGAGACGACGGTCGGGGGGCGATCTTCTGACGCAAGTCCGCCGTGTTCCCGACGTAGCTCCGACGTGGATCCGACTTCATTGGGTCTCAAGTTGTCGCGCGAGGCCTCCAGGATGTGCCTCAGACCGCTCGGCTTCGGGCCTGCATCGAGCAGCCCCAGCAGGGAAAAGCGAGGACAAAGCACAGAGCAAGTCGAAGGTGTTCGAGAGGGTGCCTGGAGCTTTTCGGGCCTCGAAGTGGTCTCCACAAGCTCCGTCTCGTCGAGAGCTTTCCAGAGAGTCCGTCATTGTCCCAAACAGCTGGCTGAGGCACGGGTCATGGCCCGAAAGTTGCGTAGATCTCGCCATGAGGCGAATGGTGCCTGAGGGGAACACGTCGTGAGGTTTTCCGCCGCCTTCGGGCTCTTAGGATCCTCCCTGGGCCTCAGGGCCGTCAAAAAGCGGCTTGTGATTAAAATCGCTGGCCTTTGGAAAGGCCCCAGAAGTCCAGGATCCGTTTCCCGCAGGAGCCGGTTCCCTCACGCCCACCCTTTCGCGTTGCGAAATAGATCACGACGGAATTTTGGCGGTCTTCGGCCTCCTCGGGGACCCTTGCTAAGCCACGGGGAAGTCGGACACGACTCGGGATGAAAAGCCAGTCCCAGCGGAATGGATCCAGATCTCTAGTCGTCCAGGTTAAGAGAAAAAGACGTCACCTTCAATGGGACGTGTCCATCGGAGGAAATCGGGCAGGACTATGATGAAGGCAAATCGCTCCAGGGTCAAGGGCGTACTGGAACGCCCTCGGAGTGTTCCATGAGCGCTCTGGAACTGGCTGTGGCGCGCGTCGCCCGATGCATCCTCTGGAGCCGCCAGCTCTGATCAGAGATTCTCGATGTGTAGCGATCCGTGTCTATCGCCATCCTGCCTTCGTCTTGCTGGAGTGCGGTAGGTTCGCGCCGCGTCGACGCGGTGGCGGCGTTGGCGCGGACGTTCAAGGTTGAAGACCGCAGACGGGCCAGACCAGGCCAGCCGTGAACGATCTCGGCTGTCAGGCAGAAGAGATCCTTCAACATTGTTTCCGCTGCGCCTCCCCCTCCTCTTGGTTCTGTTCAGGCACAGGGAGGGCTTCCTGTGCACCGCTTCCTTGACGTGTGGGCCGATACTGACGAAGCGAGTGATTCCTCAGGCGATCCCCTTGCAGAAGGGACAAAGAAATCCTTCAAGATATATCGATCCACGTAGTGTCAGCTCTTCGCCGGAGTGACCCTTCGCCGGAGTGACCTTTGGTGCGGGCCCGCAGGGGTGCCCCCCGGCACTGGCGGGTGCGCGCTGACTTGGCCCCCCCGCGACCTTCAGAGTTGCGCACCAAAGGTCACGTGTGCCTAGGATCATTACGTGTATCGGCCACGCGCAGAAGGGGGGTAGGGGGAGGGACGAAGGCTTCTCAGAAGCACCCCTGCTTGTCAGAAGGCGCGGGCCTTGTCTGTAGATGTAGGGCCAGCGCCGTCTGAGAAGCAGCCGCCTTCCAAGAAGCCGTCCCCCCTCCCCCTACCCCCCTTGGACGTGGATAGGACAAGGATAAATCCGTTCCAGAGCGTTCCGGAACGCTCCCAGAGCGGTCCGGAACGCTCTGAGAGGGCCGCGGCGCCCGAGACATCCTCCAGAGCCGCCACATTTCAGAGATTGTCGATTTATCCTCACCCGAGTTTATTATCTTCCCGGCTTAGTCTTAACATGAATCACTGCCACGTGGCCGTTTTCTTGTTGGTTGTTTTGTTGATCGGCGCGGTCCCTCGCACCTGCTCCGGGACAGCATCGTGGGCTCGGAGGAGAAGCATGAATCACCGCCACGTGGTCGTTCTCTTATTCGCTGGTTTGCCGATCGGCGCGGGCCCTCGCACCCCCTCCCCCCTATGGAGCAGATCTTGCTGTTTTTCGGGGCTGGTTCAAGCAGGTGGAGCTTCCCCGTAGCACGCACTGTTGCAGACAGTCGCACGAAGCATAGGTCCGAAGCCAGACCCCCCCCCTCCCCCCCCCGCCTTCCGCCCAGTGCCGAAACGCCGAATAAAAAAACCGCTCACCACCGAGAACCTCTCGATGCGGCGCCGACCTCTGGGCGGTGGCGCGCCCGAGCGCCACCCAGCGCAGGACGACGCTTCGGCGTGCCGCCGTCCAGGGGCCGGTCCTCACCCCACGGGTTCTCGATGGCGGTGGTCACCGTTTCTCCGTGGAGTGAACAGAAGGATCGGACGTGCGCGATCCGGCCGGCTCCGGCTCCCTCTCTCCGACTGAAGCGTCATCGGGGGCGGCCGCGAGGGGGGTGATCCAGGGCCATGGTATCTCCCCAGAAGACGAGCCCCTGTTCTTATGTCGATGCCTTTCCTGGCTCCCCCTGGGCCGCGCACATGCCATGGGCCATGATTTACGACCCCCGATCTTTGACGCTACCATTGGACGCTCCCGATATCACGTTGGCCATGATTACGCAAAACTCCAGGCCGCAATGTGTTCGACCCTGGCTTTCTCTCGGGTCCTGAAATCGCCGCTCCGGCTCTGGCTCCTAACCCCAGAAGAAGTGGCATCCCTTACAACCGGGGGCATTCATTGTTTCACCATGATTTGGCTGAGACATTGTTTTTTTGAGGCTTCGTTGAGCACGGCCTCTTCAGCTACGGACGCGTCTTTCTGGTTCCGACTCCCGTCCGTCTGGGGCGGCCAAATGGGGGGGTGATGTTCAGGGGGGCCATGGTATCTCCTCAGATGGCACGGCGCCTCCTCTTATTTCAATACGTCCCTGCCCCCCCCCCCCCCCCTGGGCCGCACACGTGCCGCTGGCCATGATTTGCGCCCCCCCCCCCCCCCCCCTGTTGGACGCGCCCCTCATTGGACGCCCCCGAAGCCGACTCCTGCTCTCACATCTCCGACTCGGGCTCCCACCACTCCTATCTGTAGGGCGCGCAATGAGACGGCGACAAACGGGGGGAGGCAGCGAGGGTTGCCGCAAAGGGGCCCTTCAGGGTCCCGAGAGTGGCCTTGAGTGTCCGAAAAGGGCACGTTTTCTCTCCCCCCCCCCCACAATGGACACCCATGCCAAGAAACACCCTGCTTGCCTCCACGGTGCTGTGGGTTTCTTCGGCTTCGATGGTTCTGCTATGGACCGCGTGACGCTCCGAGGCCAAAAAGCCCATGGACGCCCTGGGGTCTCCGGGTTGCGTTTCTCGTGGCGGGTCTCCTGAGGCCGAGCTCCTGCTGCATCCGCCCCCCCCCCCCCCCCTTGACTTCGCGCCCAGTCGGCCCCTCACTCGGGCCCTGGCCCGCCCGCGCTGCCTTCGTCGCGAAGGGGGGCGGCGTACCGCCCGAGCCGACGGTGCGCGCCCCCGCTCCCGAGGCAGTGGCCGCCCGGAGGCCACCAATGGGCCGGCCCCTCGCTCGAGCAGGGGATCGACTTCGGATCGGGCCGATCGGGAGGGGTAACCTCTATACGTCTTTAGTTTTGGTCCCCCCTCCCCCTGGAGCTCTCCGCGGTGAAGAAACTCGTCCCGAAATTCGTCCGCTCCCGAAACCTCTCCTCCTCCTGAGAGTGCAGCTCTCGCCTTAGCGCCGCGCACATTCGTCTTAAAAGTTTGCAGCAGTTTCAAGGATGGAGGGCCACCACGGGGCCGGCCCCTTGAACGAGCAGGGGATCGACGTCAGATCGGGACGATCGGGAGGGGTACGGAAAGAACGGGTACGAGGCCCAAGGCCCCTCGCTCTAGCAGGGGATCGATTGCAGATCGGGACGATCGGGATGGGTACGGAAAGAACGGGTACGATGCCCAAGGCCCCTCGCTCGAGCAGGGCATCGACGTCAGATCGGGACGATCGGGATGGGTACGGAAAGAACGGGTACGATGCCCAACACCAGCTCCTGTACACTTTTTAGCAGGACTCGCTGTCCGCGCCGCTGCGGGCGCTGCTCACTGGAGACAGAAAGCCGCCTGCCCAACAGCGGCCGCTGTCTGTTTTGGACAACATTTGTTGTTGGGCATTGTACCCATGTTCTCCGTACCCATTTCGGGCGCCCAAAACAGGGCTGATTCACTCCAGCATTAATTTCCCCGCCGGGTACATATATATATATATATATATATATATGTATGTACAAGAAGCGCGTGAATGTTCGTAGATTTGCGGGACACTACACGTATTTGTTCGTAGACTCGGTGGGAAAATCCAGATGGAGGTACATCAATTCTGTGGTCGATCCCCTGCTCGACGTGTGCAGTGAGGGGCTGGCCCTGTAGCCAGAGGGGGAGAAGGTACCCACACCGCTACCCTGCGCCCGTTTGCCCCCTCGGGGCGCCTCGAAGTGCTGGTCGGACCGCACCCCGGGAGAGGTATGGGGAGCGGTCGTATTGGTACCTTTGGGTTTCCCCAGGTGGTGCGCAGTGGGCGGTCATAGCGTTCGGTGCTCCGTGGCCGATCGCGCTCGGTGGCCCATGGCGCAACTGCTTTCCAGGGCGCTGCCGGCCGCTCGCGCCCGTGGTTTCGGTGCCCTGGGTCGTGGCCGGCGAGCTCGCGGCCGTTGCCTTGGGGTATTTTGCGGTCGGTGCCTTGTGCTCAGTTCCCCTAGTGCTGGTGCCCCACCGTCAACACGGAAAGTAAGGACGAGTGATTTTCAAAGGTTACCCTTGCATTCTTCCCCTTTGGCCAATTATTGGCCACTACTTTCGTTGGCCGCGCCCCGCTCGAAAAGTGTCGACATGGCCTTCCAGGGCCCTTGCATCTTTATCGTGCATGATTACCCTACGCTTTGACCGTACCGTTGGGGCCAACGGCTTCCATGGTTCGAATTTGAAGAGCCGGCGTAAACAGAAAGTGTCGGAGGTTCGGGCGGGTCATCTTTGATCGGAGTTGGGCCCCCGTTGGCGGCGTTTGGTGTCCACGGGCCAGCACCACTCCCCTCCCCCCCAGGAGGGAGAGGACGCCGCGAATGCCACGTCGGCTGCCGGCGTGGGTGCGGAGATGGAGCAGGAGCCGCGACAGCGTTTGCCAACCATTCGGGTGTTGCCAGAAGTGCCCCTAGCCTAGAGGTGCCCCCAGGATCTCCGAGGAGGCCCCCACGGCCTCCAGGGCACCCCCCTCACGAGGCCCAGCGGGCCCCAGGAGCTCCAAGACGGAGCGAAAGGATGGGGACGGTTTGGGCCGGAGGGCACCGTTCGAGCAACCCCCGAACCGTCCACGTCGCGTACGCGACCACGCCCGACGGTTTCCCTGGCCTCTTGCACAGCCTGAACTCGCTCGCGCGGAACGTGCCGAGCGAGGAGAGCCTGTCGGTGCACGTGGTGGTCCCGCAGGAGCACGTGGGCAGGGCCAATGCGGTGTTGGGCTGCTTCTCCGAGGAGGTGAAAGACCTCCCCCCACGAGATCTGCGCGTGCAGGTCTATCCGATGAAGAAGCTGGGTTTCGACACGAGCCCGATGCTGAACACGACCAGGGGCTGGATGCGCAGCTGGGGGAACCTGAGGCTCAGCCGCCCCACCGTGTTCGCCCGCTTCTACTTGCACGAGATGCTCCCGCGCGAGGTCGAGAGGGTCCTCTGGCTCGACGTGGACACCATCGTGAAAGGTGACGTCGGCCCCCTCTACAGGATGCGCATGACCAGGCCCGTCGCGGCCAGGATGCCCGGGAGCAACAGGACCGTCGGGGCGGCCTTCCCGCGCTGGTCGTGCGTGCAGCACCTGGATCCAGCCACCAGCTTCGCCTACTTCTCGGAGGCTGCCAGAGGTGGTCCTGGCCCACGGTGCCCCCAGCTTTCCGCGCCACCTTCCTGGGCGAGCGAAATGGGTACGGAAAGAATGGGTAGGTTGTCCAACAGCAGTTCCTGCTCATTCTTAACAAGGCTCACTGTCCGCGCCGCCGCGGGCGTTGTCCATTTGAGACAGAAGGCCGCCTTCCCCATAGCGGCCGCTGTCGGTTCCGGACAAAATTTGTTGTCGAGCATTGTATCCAATTTTTCCGTACACATTTCGGACGTCCACAAATTTGGAGCCCCTGGACCTCGTGAGGGATGTGCTTGAGGCAGTGTGGACTTTTGGAGCTCCGTGGAAGCACTGGGGCCACCCTGGGCCCGAGCCACTTGGGGCAGCACCCGAGCCTCAACACGGGCGTTATGGTCATGAACATGTCCTGGTTCCGAGCCGAGGACTTCACTCGGCCGCTGGAAAAGGCCGCCTACCGGTGCACCACGAACGACCAACCGTCCATGAACATCGTCTTCATGGACCGCGGCGTCGATTTCTTCAACCGCACCTTCAACGTGATGTCCATGGGCAACCCTGGTGTCAGGAAGCGGCGCTGGCCCGAGGACGCGGTGATCCTGCATTGGCAGGGACCGGTAAAGCCGTGGGAGCAGCCAGAGAAGTGCGACCAGAACGCCACCTTGCAGGCCATCCGCTCAGCGTCGCGCGGTCACTTCATCACGGCCCGATCTGGTCCCTCATCCTCGGCCTCGACCTCCAGAAGTCCCTCTTTGGGCCTCCCCAGAGGCCCGAAGGATTCCGGAGGCCTCGGGGGGCCTCGAAGGCTGTGGGATGCGCAGTGGCCATTTTCAGGGGCCTCGTCGTCGATCGCGGGGCCGCGTCCAGCATCCGCACTCCACACTCTGCCAGCGAATGATACTACGGCAGAAGAGCATTATAACACCCACTCTCCCGCGATCGGGGGCGCTTGTCCCAGCGCGGCTGTGAACTTTGTATTGAACAGTTTAATGCGTGCAAAGATTCGCCCGCTCGGAGCAGAAAAATCGGACCCGCGAAGGCGCGAAGATAACACTCCGCTTTGCGCCTCGCTGTCGGGGCTGGAGCTATCTGGTGGCTTCAGGCATCCCACCACAGTGCCTGAGTTGCGGGTCGGGGGCTTCGTGGAGGATTCTCGGGGGCCTTTGGGGGACCCCATTGAGGCCATCTTGGGGTGGAGCGCTCGAAAGGCCGCTTCGCTTTCCCCCTCTTGGGGCAGTCTTTGTGGCCTTAGGGCGCCATTTGGGCCGCTCGTGGCGATATTCGGGGCCTTTGGGGCCGTCCTGGACGCCCTGCAAGCCAAGAGTACAACGATCATAAGAAACAGCATGGAAACATGATTGTGGGCCTCTTAGGCTTGCCCAAAGGGCCTACAAGAGGGCCCCAAGCTTGGGCCAGGGTACTCTTGAACTGCCGTGGGACCTTCTTGGGATTTTGTTGATCCGTCTTTTGGCCCCCTGGGCTTTGGACATTTCACGCGAAAAGCCGCGAGCGGCCTCGGGAAGCCCAGAACATTGCCGAGAACTCGGAGGGGCCCGGGGACACTCCGCTGAGTGGCCACGGCACGGTGGCGGGTTCTTGTCCATGCAGGCCGCGGGAGAGCACGAAGATACTCGCGGGTCGCTCGCCGCGCCGCACGAGGCACGAAGTTGGGTGGCCTAGCTCGAGCAGATGAAGGAGGAGGAGGATGGAGGAGGAGGATCCGCAGGGGAAGGGGATGGAGGAAAGAGGAGGTGCAGGGACCGAGCTGGGAGGATGGATGGCCTAGCTCGAGCAGATCGAGCTGGGAAGGATAGACGAGGATGGAGGAGCAGGATGGAGGAGGAGGAGGAGGAGGAGGAGGACGAGGAGGAGAAGGATGAGGACGGAGGATGGAGGATGGAGGATGGAGGAGGAGGAGGGGTAGGGGGAAGGGGAGGAGGAGAAGGAGGAGGAGGAGGAGGAAGAGGCGGAGGAGGAGGAGGGGAGGGGGGGGGGAGGGGGAGGAGGAGGGGAGGAGGAGGAGGAGGAGGAGGAGGAGGACGAGGACGAGGACGAGGACGAGGACGAGGAGGAGGAGGAGGAGGAGGAGGACCAGTGTAAACCTAAGGGTCATCAGCGATCTTGGAATTAACCCTCCCTCCAAGGTCCCTCTTCATAGGCCCCTACAACGGCTCATTGCCATTGAGGGAACTGCCTCGTTGGAAGACAACCGTTTGAAGACCCTGAAGCATGCCAAAGCATAGTGCTCGGGATTTGCACGCCACAGATCAACCTTACTGCTGCGTTTTGACGATCTGGAGTCGGGCCATAACGCCAGCTTTGGGATTTCAGCACCGCGAATCTACCGCAAATCCTAAATCCGTCCAACACACAATGTATGGTACGATGATCATGGAAATCCGTGAAACTCTTGCAAATGTTTAAAACGAATGTGCGCGGCGCTAAGGCAAGAGCCACAGTTTGAAAAGGAACCGCCCTCAATCCGTGAAGTTTTTTGTAAATGTTTCCCAGCCTTCTTTGGTTGGGTATTCGTTTTGAAAAGAGGACTGTGGTCGCGTCCTCCTCCCGCCTTCCTCCTGCCGCCTGCCCGTCTTGCCTCGGGGGGGGGGGGCTGCGATCTGTGAAATTGTCGCCACGTTCAAGGGCTGCTGGGGGGTCCAGCACAGTGATGTCCTACGCAGCCCCAAACGGGACCTCGCCATGCGTGGGGGGCTGCGATTTGTGAAATTGTCGAGGCCTGCTGGGGGGTCCAGCACAGTGACGTCCTACGCAGACCCAAACGAGACCTCGCCATCCCTGGGAGGGCTGTGATCGGTGAAACTGTCGCTTCTTTCGGAGCCTGCTGGGGGGCCCAGCACAGTGACGTCCTACGCAGACCCAAATTAGACCTCGCCATCCTTGGGGGGCTGCGATTTGTGAAATTGTCGCCACTTTCAAGGGCTGCTGGGGGGTCCAGCACAGTGACGTCCTACGCAGACCCAAACGGGACCTCGCCGTCCTTGGGGGCTGCGATCGGTGAAACTGTCGCCACTTTCGAAGCCTGCTGGAGGGGGGGGCAGCGTAGTGACGACCTACGCAGACATAAACGGGACCTCGCCAATCGTGGAGGGTTGCGAATTGTGAAACTGTCGCCATTTTCAAGGCCAGCTGGGGGGGGGCAGCACAGTGACGTCCTACGCAGACTCAAATTAGACATCGCCATCCCTGTGGGGCTGCGATCTGTGAAACTGTCGCCACTTTCGAGGCCTGCTGGGGGGCCCAGCACAGTGACGACCTACGCAGACCCAAACGAGACCTCGCCATCCGTGGGGAGTTGTGATCTGGGAAACTGTCGCCACTTTCGAGGCCTGCTGGGGGGGCAGCGTAGCGTCGTCCTACGCAGATTCAAATTCGACCTCGCCGTACTTGGGGGGCTGCGATCTGTGAAACTGTCGCCACGTTCGAGGCCTGCTGGGGGGTCCCGCATAGTGACGTCCTACGCAGATTCAAACTAGACCTCGCCATCCTTGGGGGTCTGCGCTCTGTGAAACGGTCGCCACTCTCGAGGCCTGCTGGGGGGTCCAGCATAGTGACGTCCTACGCAGACTCAAACTAGACCTCGCCATCCCTGGGGGGCTGCGATCTGTGAAACTGTCGCCACTTTCGAAGCCTGCTGGGGGGGCCCAGCACAGTGACGTCCTACGCAGACCCAAATGAGGCCTCGCCACCCCTGTGTGGCTCCGATCTGTGAAACTGTCGCCACGTTTGAGGCCTGCTGGGGGGTCCAGCATAGTGACGTCCTACGTAGATTCAAGTTAGACCTCGCCATGCGTGGGGGGCTGCGATCTGTGAAACTGTCGCCACTTTCGAGGCCTGCTGGGGGGGGGCAGCGTAGCGTCGTCCTACGCAGATTCAAGTTCGACCTCGCCGTACTTGGGGTGCTGCGATCTGTGAACTTGTCGCCACTTTCGAGGCCTGCTGGAGGGGGGGCAGCGTAGCGTCGTCCTACGCAGATTCAAATTCGACCTCGCCGTACTTGGGGTGCTGCGATCTGTGAACTTGTCGCCACGTTCGAGGCCTGCGGGGGGGGGGCAGCGTAGTGACGTCCTACGCATATTCAAATTAGACCTCGCCATCCCTGGGTGCTGCGATCTGTGAACTTGTCGCCACTTTCGAGGCCTGCTGGAGGGTCCAGCATAGTGACGTGCTACGCAGATTCAAATGGAACCTAGCCATCCCTGGGTGCTGCGATCTGTGAACTTGTCGCCACTTTCGAGGCCTGCCAGGGGGGGCAGCATAGTGGGGCACCGCGGCGGATTCAAATGGGACTTCCCAAATGCTGGTTGCAGAAATACATACGTTCATGTCTCGTCATCACCCCCTTTTATAAAGTCGCCCAAGATACTCGTGCCCCGCATTGCGCAGGGGTCGGGTACGTCGCCAGGGTGATCAAAACGAATGTGCGCGGCGCTGAGGCGAGAGCTACATTCTGAAAACCACCCGCCCTCAATCCGTGAAGCTCTTGCAAAGTTTGAAGACGAATGTGCGTGGCGCTAAGGCGAGAGCCACATTTTGAAAACCACCCGCCCTCAATCCGAGAGACTCTTGTAAATTGCGAAAACGAATGTACTCGGCGCTGAGGCAAGAGCTACATGTTGAAAATCACCCGCCCTCAATCCGTGAAACTCTTGCAATTTATTTGTGAAGACGAATGTGCGCGGCGCTAAGGCGAGAGCCACGGTTTGAAAACGACCCGCCGTCAATCCGCGAAACTCTTTGCACATGTTGAAAACGAATGCGCGCGGCGCCAAGGCGAGAGCCACATGTTGAAAGCCACTCGCCCTCCATCAGTGAAGCTTTAATCATTTTTAAGCCTCCAGAGTCATACATGGTGAGGAAGTCTCAGGCAAAACGCCCGGCCCGCCCTAAACATTGGCTTCGGGGTGCGACAGGGGAAAGTTATCTCTACGGAGACGGGATGGAGGAGGAGGAGGAGGAGGAGGAGGAGGAGGAGG